GACGAGGTGGATCCAATCAGGGAGGATGAGGCCCACTTCTAGTAGCTGATCTGGAGGTATGAATTCCAAGAGAGCAGAAGCTGCTTTTGTAGTTAGCAAGCCATTCACAGTCTTTGTTTAATCCAGAGTTGATTGTGACAAACTTAAAGATGAACTGTAGCTCAGCAGTTTCTCTTTGAAGTCTGGTCCTGAAGTTTTTTTGCTGCAGGATGGCTACTTTTAGATCTGCAATTGTGTGTCCAGGAAGATTGAAGTGTTCCCCTACAGGTTTTTGTATGTTGCCATTCCTAATATCAGATTTGTGTCCATTGATTCTTTTACGTAGGGACTGTCCAGTTTGGCCAATGTATATAGCAGTGGGGCATTGTTGGCACATGATGGCATATATTACGTTGGTAGATGTGCAGGAGAATGTACCAGTGACAGTATGGCTGATCTGGTTAGGTCCTGTGATGGGGTTGCTGGTGTATATATGTGGGCAGAGTTGGCACCGAGGTTTGTTGCAGGGATTGGTTCCTGAGCTCGAGTTATTATGGTGCGGTGTGTAGTTGCTGGTGAGAATACGCTTCAGGTTGGCGGGTTGTCTGTGGGCAAGGACCGGCCTACCTCCCAAGGCCTGTGAGAGCGAGGGATCATTGTCCAGGATGGGTTGTAGATCACTAATGACGCGTTGGAGAGGTTTTAGCTGGGGACTGTAGGTGGATTTTCTAAACTGCTTTACCCTTCTTTTTCTTGTTGAAGATGTATTTTAAATCAGGCAGAAACGAGACCCATGAATTTTTATTTCAGAAAAATCATCTCCTTTTGAAGGAGCAATTAGACACATTCAAGACATTGGGAACTCCCAGTTCTCTGTAGCTGGGGAAGTAGCTCTTTCAGACATAGCTGTCTTCTACAAGGCAGGTATTAAACTGGCATGTGTGAAACAGTAAAGGTGCTGGGGAGGTGACAGCATGATTACTGTGGTAGTTACTGTTTGTTAATGTGCTGGAAAGAGCTGCTGTTCCAAAGGACTGGTAGAGTCTCTGTTGCCTAAAAGACAGGTGGCCAGGTAAGGCCCTGTCCCATCCCAGGACAGTCAATAAGAGTCTTTCCATTGACTTCACAGGAGATTGGATTGGGCCCAGAATGCCTTCTCGTGGAGGTGTGGGGCCCTCTGAGGAGGTCCTGGCAATCTCTCATGGAGACACTGTGGACAAGTGAAAACGTGGCGCTCATTCTGAATGTCTTTCTCTGGTTGCCGGGGGTGCGACCCGTGGCTGAGACCACGGGGATGTGGCGCTGTGACGCCGGGTAAGGCAAAGGGTGCTTTGGGAGAGGCCATCTCTCGTGGTAACTGTTGGGAAGGTGAAGGAGGCCGGCTAGGCGAGGGCCTTTTTGAAGGAAGAGCAGGGTTGAAGTGAAAGAGCAGGGTGTGCGAGGAACACGAGGGTACGAGGGAAGGCTGGTGGAAGCCAGGTTCCCGTTAGCAGGCTAGAATGAACAGCAGGCTGTGCTCCCAGCTCCGAGGGCTGATTGTACCCATCCAGTGCACAGACTTGTTGGGCTTTGGCTGCCGGACCGCAGCGGTATTGTGCTGTGCAGTGCACCCTCGCTGAGCGCCCTCCAGCTGTGCACCAAGCAGTGTGAGGGTACGAGGGAAGGCTGGTGGAAGCCAGGTTCCCGTTAGCAGGCTAGAATGAACAGCAGGCTGTGCTCCCAGCTCCGAGGGCTGATTGTACCCATCCAGTGCACAGACTTGTTGGGCTTTGGCTGCCGGACCGCAGCGGTATTGTGCTGTGCAGTGCACCCTCGCTGAGCGCCCTCCAGCTGTGCACCAAGCAGTGTGACTCGCCTCTGTCACAGGAGGCTTGTTCGGCCAGTATGGCCTCGGCGGGGGGTTTGCCTAGAGGCGACCACTCCCCTGTGACCAGGTGGACCTGTGACGGGGCGTCAGGCCTTCCCTGTCTCCCTGACGCTCCCCCCAAGGAGAATCCAGTCAGACTGTGCGACCGACTGACCAGCGAAGAACCAGCCGGGCGGCACCGAGGTGTGCCAGTGTCTGCTCAGAGGCACGGCTCGCTGGGACTGGCACAGGGGGAACGCCTCAGGCTCACCCAGAAGCCAGGGTCTGGCCTTATGTGCTGCAGCTAAGCCGCTGCAGGCTCAAGTTGCTAAGTGACGTGGCTCTTCAGAGGCTCACACCCGAACTGGCTGCCGAAGGATGCAGATGCAGGCAGGTAGTGCCCGCAGTACCACGCACGGCCCTACAGGGGGCGCTGCCGAGCAGCCCCGCGCCACGCTGCCCCGGGACGGGGGG